TAATATCTTGGCAGATCTTCTCCCAGAACGTGTCTGGAGGAAAGCAAACAACGTGTCGTTATTGCCTGGGAACAGCAGGGCTGGGCCTCTGCAGGACGGGGAAGGCTCTTCCTGGGCGAGCGGGAGAGCGTGGGGCGTAATGAGCCTGGTAGTTTTCATTAGCATTACTAACAGCATCTTCCACTTTTAAGAAACAAGAACGAGATTTCATGAATTAATAAAAGGAAGATTGTGATTGACTAAGCAAAGGGTGTGCCAGTCTGTGCAGCTGGTCCGTCTTAACTAGGTAATGTCCATAGATACGGCGTTAATTCAATTCTCAGTTGAAATACTCCAGAGGAAATGTCAGATCAATAATGTAGAAAAGGGCAAAGATTTGCTAAGCCTGGCTGACTTGCGTATGTTAACTACCGTGAGAGAGATATGGATAAATGCTGAACATTAAGGTGAGTAATCACAACTGTCTTGGGTGTCTGAAAAAATTTTCTGCATAAAAGCTATACAAAACAAACGTGTTTCAGGCACGAAGCTGGGAGTTAAGGCAGCAGCTTCTTATTTCACGCACAACTCCGCAGCTAACATCCTGGGGGTTGCTGCTTTTCTGGAAGAGCACAACAAGCCTTGCAGACATTGTCCCACCGCCCCTACCCGATGCAGGGTCCCTGATCCTGCCCCTGCTGGTGCAGGGTCCCGCACCAGCACAGATCTGAGCCGGCGTGCATACACACCAGCACTAGCTCTTAGTTGCTTTAAACCTTGGTTTGCAGCATCTGTTTTGTTGCTGTTGTTGTTTTGTTTGGGATTTTTTTTGCCAGCAGGTTGTGTGGGTGCAACTCCTCCTGGCTGCAGCCTGTGGCCTGGGAGATGCTAAGGAGATGAGAAACCTTACGCCTGTGCTCTGGAGCTGCCGTGAGCTCTGTTTGCTTTGGAGCTTTCTGCTCGGCGGTGTGGGCTGCTCTGCCCAGCGCCAGGCAGGGCTGGATTCACCCCACAGCGTCCAAACCTGGCTGGTCATCCTGGCTGGAGCCCATCACGGCCTGGAGATGAGCGGCATCCTGAGTGTCATTGGCTGCAAACACCCAAGGGATGGGCAGGTTCAAGGCAAATGCCTCCTTCCCTCACCCACAACCTCCTCTGTGACCAGACGCTGTGCCAGCGCAGTCATGGCTAGCAGCCCTTCCCTCCAGTGAAGACAAGAGCAGACAACTTTTTTGGCCTTTGGGCCTGAATCTCAGCAATATAACAGTTGCAAAGAATTTCTTTTCACACAATCTTTGCTAAACCATTCAGAAACCTTGAGATTTTTTTTTTTTTTTTAGATACCGTGATGTCTTCCAGTACCAAGAGCAAGAGCTCTCCCTGAGACAGTGCCTGTGTGGAGGCTCTGGGAACGCTGTGATTTCAGAATTGCCAAAACAAACAACAGGTGCCTGCACTATTTTGCAAGTAGGAGCTCCTCAAATGTCAGGCTTTGGCAGAGCAGATGCTTCCTTACAACACCAGTCTTCTTACCCCAAAGGCCCCTGGAAACTTGGGTGGTGTATTTACAGTAAAGAATGCAGAGTTGGAAAATATTTTGAAATCACCTTTGATGAAGAAGTCTTTAATGTGCCTCCCCAGCTACTTGTTCAGCTGCTTAATTTCTGCTTCTAACAGAAGTATGGATCGGTATCAGGTTTAAGAACAGCTGGAGAAGGCACACCGTGACTCAGAGGACTCATAATAGCCTTTTCCCTTGGGGCTTGGCTTACCTGCTCTGGAGAAGTGTGCATGGGTGAGGCTGCACCGAGGTCGCCGTACCAGTACAAACCTGTGGTTCAGAAACACGGCGAGATCGGAAAAAGTGCTTACAGCCCTGCAATTAGTCCTCATCCAGGCGCTGCACGAGCCATGCTGATAACCAGGGTTTGCCGTGGGGGTCGCTAACAGCAGGCGTGCTGTGGGGGGCGAGCTGAGCGGTGCAGCCCTACGAGTGGGACCTCTTTACTTCTGCAAGGGATAAAACTCCAGCCTCTGGCTGCTTTGGGAGCCAGCAGCACCATGAAGTGACCTCCCTCTGCTCCAAAGGGCAGCTCGGGCCTCAAGAGCCTCCCAGCTCGGCGCTGGTTTCCTAGTGGGGTGGCGATGGGCAGGATTTGTCCCCTCTGTGCCGGGGTGGGGAGAGCAGCACCGAGGGGCCGGGGTGCTGGGGGCTCCCTGTGCCTGCTGGCCTCTGGCTGGGCTGCTCCCAGGCACATTTTAAGAGGAAAGAAAAGAGCTGACAGAGCTGGAACCGCTTTAAGGTGGAACCGAAACAATAGCTTGTGGCCGTCTGAATCAGTTCCCTTGTTTCATAAATTTGACTCAGAGCTGAGCATTTCAGAGCCTCAGAAAGAGCAGGCTTATTTCAATTTTGGTTCTAATAATGGGCAAAGGTCACGGCAGCTGGGAGGAGAGGGGAAATGAAAGGCATGGGCTTGGCTATTTTCTCAGAACCAGCTTCACCCGTTCCTGGTTACGATCTCAGCAGAATAACAACTTGATATTAAGCAAAGCCAAGAAATGAAATTAACACATGCAAAATTACATTACAGCCATGGCAGGAGTCCTAGTGCTGCGCGGTGCAAGGCCTCCTGGTGCAAAGTGGCAGGGGCAGCGAGGAGGAGCTGGAGGCTGGGAGCTGAGCATCTCCCTGCTGCACCCAGGCTGGCCCTGAGCTCCCTGCTCCTCTGCTCCCAGAGATTTTGTTTGCCTTCTCGGAGCTGCCTACAGCCTGTTTGCTCTTCATCCACCCCAGGAAAGCAGAACCCAAATACCTGCATGTGCTCACTTCCAAAGCGCTGTCCCTAGGGACTGCCCCGAAGGTTTGTGACAGCAGCTTGCCTTGCAAAGTCATTAATCCAGTGCTGGTGGCCAGGGAAGGCCAGCGCCTGCTGCCCTTGCCAAGCTTCCTAGAGAGCCTGCTGCAAGTACAGCACATCCCTCGCTGTCCCCGCACAAAACACGGGCAGATGTATGGAAACAAGGAATGGGAGAGCAGGATGCATTTCTATACACGTTAGTAAGGACACCTCCTAAGAAGCAATTATACCTGCAGAGGCCAGAAGAGCTGGAGGAACACAACAGCCCTGCAGCCACGGGGAGCCTGCCCGGCCTCCCTGCTGCTGCCCCAGGCTCCGGGACACTGATGGGTGCTGCTGGAAGCTGTCAGCAGTAACATCAGCTACTGCTCCTGGGGAATTAACCCAGCACCGGGTGCTTTTGTACCTCTGGCTGCCTGTCTGAAGCCATCGCGTGGGGCAGGGGTGGGCAGATGCACCAGGCTGCCATTTCTCTGCCAGACTTGACTGCTGCGAGCCGCTGCCAATGTGCCGATGTGCCAGCTTCGACACCTGTGGCTCTGGTGTTGCAAACCAGGTTTGCAGAGAGCCTGGAGATGAATATGGGTTTTCCCGTGATGTGGTTAACAACATCATTTACTTCAGAGGCTCCTGGGACAGCGCTGACACTCACTTCAGCAGCTGAAGTGTTTAATGTGTGCTCCAAGATGCTCTCTAAACACAGATAGGACTGAGTGACACAAATGTATTTGCTGAACATTTTAGGGTTAGCACGCTCCACAGCAGCGCAATCAAATAATTGTGAGTGTTGGAAGCGGCTCTGTAAGAGGATCATGATTCTGCGAGTGCTCATGATTATTAAATACATCACAAATTTCCCTCTCTGTATTTTTCATACCTTCTTTCTCAAAGTATTACTCACATAATTTTCCCTCTGAAAGCTATTACGAGTGAATCACCTCTAGCTTGAGCGAGCAAACATGACCAAGTGTTTATTCTGTTCACAGATGGGCAATTTTAAGCCCAGATCCTGACCTTAAGAAAGTCCCCGAGCAAGGCTGGCGGATAAGCCCTGGCAATACACTGGTCCCTGGAGCATCGTGACTCAGAGGCACATTTCTTATTAAAACGTTTCTGCTTTTACCTCGAGGCCGTCGCGTCCTGCTGACCAGCAGCCGTTTCCCGTCCCAGCCCAGGCACCAAAGGGACCCCGGCCCCATCGCCCTCGCTGCTGTCAGGCCGAGGGCTGGGAGAGCAGGGAAGTTCTGGCTGCTTTCTGTAGGCAATGAATCCAAGTCACTGCACGTCCACATGCTGCTCCAGTGGGAGGAATACAAGGAGCATCCCCAGGGCAGCTGGAGGACAGGGAGCAGAGGCTGAGCCTCAGCCGTGCCGCCCCCTGCCCTGCCTCCCAGCCCAAGTTTGGTAGGATTTGCTCCTTGGATCAAGCTCTTTTTTTTTTTTTTTTTTTTTTTTTTTTCCATTCCCTTAGCTCCCAAGTTCAGCAAATTCGTTCTGCAGTGACAGCTAACGGAGGGCAGTGTGTGCTGCCTGTGAAAGCCTCTTTGTCGCCTGCTGCTAATCGGAGCCGTTTTGCAGCCTCTCTGAACGCTTTTGTCTCGAGTTTTGTTTTCAGTTCAGGTCTTGCCACCGATCTCACATGGTTTCCTGGCTGGCAGAATAATCTCTAAGCTTAGCAAACAGCAGGCTTACAGCTTGTCAAATGAGCAGGTGAGGGAAACCGCACGCCCCGCGAAGGCAGGCAGCGGGTATGGAGCTGCACGTGGGCTGGGGAGCCCGGGGGTCAGGGCAGGACTGGAAATAAAAACCAGCAGAGCAAAGGCTGGTGGCCCAAACCTCCCTGTGGACAACTTGCAGGGAGGAAGAGACTCTGGCAGGAGACCAAGAGCTCTGGTTGCTGGCGCTGGTGTTTATCTGTAGCAGCGAGGAGAGATAAAAGGGGAGAACAGCAGGCGAGGCGAGCATGGGGCTGGGGAAGTCGCAGCCCGCACGTTGTGCATCGCCTGGCCATGGGCAGGGTGGGCACCGGCTGCTCGGCAGCCCCCCGACACCTGAACACGCTCAGCCCATGGGGGGCTGGCTAGAAGGAGGCTTTGTCTCAGCTTGGGAGCAGGGGTCCTAAAAGCTCCTGAGCTTTGGAAGTGGGGTTTAATTATTAGCTAATTGGCTGGGGTGTATCTCGTTTGTAATGAGCGAGGAGAGCAGGGACAGGTGGCTGTGGTCAGCAGAAGAGGTTCTGGCAATCTCCTACTTAAGGCTGTAGAAGAAGCCCCCCAGGCTGGCTGGCTGGGATTTCTGGGCTGCTCTGGGGTCAACTCTCAGCCTGTGGGGTGGCTGTGGGCTGGGGTCCCTTGCTTTGGGTGAGGCTTTGGTGATTGTTTGGATGGAAAGAGAGTAAGGTAGCATGCATTACCTTGGGGGGGGGAGAGGGCTTTATAAGCTAGGAAACCCACTTTTGGGAGGGTCAGAGGGAGAGTCAATCCAAGTGCTTGCAATTCTGTGAGCCTTAAACTCCCTGATGAGGCTGCTGTAGGGCAAAGTATGGGTAGTTCTAATCTCATGTTGATTTTTGCTTATAGCATGTAATTTAACTGTTTGATAGTATTATTTTTGCATGATATAGCTGTGTGATGCTGTCTCTCTAAAAGCAGTATAAGAGTGCCCTGTGCCCAAGCGGCTACAAGGTCAAATCCCAGCTGATATCTTGCAGGAGCTTTGGGGTAGCTGAAAGGGTTGAGGCTCTGTCTCTCTCCCCTTGCCCTGCTGTAGGTGTGCTGGATAGCAGCTAACCAAATAATCTATCTGTGCTCTAGCCTGTGCTGGACAGATGAGAATATCAGCAGTTGGCTATCTTATGGCTCCCACGTAGATCGGCCCAGTAAAAGTTATGAGGGCGCGGTGATGGGATCAGTGTTAAAACATGGGGAAAAGTTGGGGAGGAGGACAAATCATTAGTATTGACTTCAGGGCTAAAAGACAGCCACTTAGGGTTCAGACCTGGTAGCACTCTGTAGTATTACAGGGTGCCCATAGGGGTCTGCCTGAAGCTGGGGTGGATTTGTTGATCTGCTCTTACCTGCTGGGGTGGCTGATGTTAACTGAGACTTGTGAGGTGCCCAGGCGCTGCAGCGATGGGTGCTGCAGAAATCGGAGGCAGTGGGAATACTGGTATTCATGGAAAGCTTTTATAAACAAGCCCTGGAAAAACATGGGAAAAAACTCTTCACAAATAAGTAAATAACTCTTCATAAATAAGAAATTCTCTCTTTTTTTATAACTAGAAAATTTAAAAGTAACTATTGGCCAAAAATGTTCTTTTGTACACTCTTTAACAACCCCCTTTGTTTTTCATCTTATCTGATGGCAGAACTGATCAGAATGAACACTTTCTGATAACAGCTGTGTATTTGTCAATTGTTTAAACAAATGCTTGCAAGCTCTCCCTTCAATGTTTGCCTTCAGGGGTGGCAGAGGACAGGAGCTGCCTGTGCCCGCAAGCTTTGAAGACCCAAGGGAAGATGCACAGGGCCTGAAGGGGAAAACACCTCATGTACAGGTCCTAGGCTGCAGTTCAGTTCCTGGCAATGATGTACAAAACCATGAAAAGGAGTATATGGGGCTGGAGGAAATGGAAGTGGTTCCCAAGAGGCACATGGAGCACATTTAAAATGCAGCTGTGTGCTTTGGGAAGTTTTGCAGCAGCGTTGCTCCCCTGCAGGATGGATACTCCCTGCTGCCTGGCTGGTTCTCCTGAGAACTGGGAGCCTTTGACCTGGTGCTGACTTTCTGCAGCTTGAATCCTGATCCTGAAACAAGCCTCAGGTGGGCCTGGAGCATGGGTAAGTCTGTTTGTCTCCAGCTTTGGGTCAGCTAATTTTGCTATGTCTTTTTGTTTTGCTCTCCAAGCTTCACCATCGTTGCCTGTCAGTATTTTTAGCACAAGGAGAGACAAAGCCTCAGATTTGGATCTTGGAGATAGGTGTGCAAATGAAAGGTTTGTTCCTGATAAAACGCAGAGACTAGCATGGGGAGAGAACAGTATGTGCCTGAGCCACTGATGTCACATTTGTTTGATATGTTCTTCTGGATGGCAAGGGTAGGGATGTGTTTGCACACGTTGGTATTTGGCTGCCTCTGGTTTGCTTTCTGCAGAAGCAATGATATGAAAGGGAAAGGTGAAATGGGAACTGGGAAGCCTGAAGCTTGTGCAATTAAAGAGCAAGTCGTCATGCCATAATCTAATGGAAACTAGTGGTACAGTAGGTGCCAGTAGATAAAACTAGTTTTGGCTTTGCTGCAGATCAGCAGGGTAACCTTGATTGGCATTTCACCACTCCTTCCTTCTGCCTGTGCTGCTTCAGGGCCTGTGCCGCTGCTTCTGGTGATGTGAGCTGTCTGGGTGAGGAAGAGGTTCTTGAGCTGTGATGCTCAGAGGCACTGTGGCAGCCCCAGCCCAGCCGCATCCTTTTTATGGGGTAAAAGTGTTTCTTTATCCTCTTTCTCCTTGCTAGAGCTGCTCATATGGGTTTTCTGGGGTGCTGCAGGGGGGAGGGCACCGAGCATCCCAGCAGGGACTGGTGTTAGCAGGAGCGAGGTCTACAGGGCCACCTGCATCTCATCCCTGTGTCCTCATCGGTAGCACAGAGCGAATCCCTCACAAGTGAAGTTCCTAAACAAACAAATGTGGAGCTATTTATTTCTATTGTTGCAGAAGTGCTGCGGTCTCAGGCAGGATTTTGTATTCACTGTTCCCATCTGCAGCCCTGCTGTGCCGGGGGACGCGCTGCCTTCCCTTGCCCAGCCTGGCCACTAAAGCACTGCAAGAGGTCCCCTCCTGAACGCCCCCTCCCCCCCCCCCCCCCCCGAGCCCCTCTTTCCCTGCAGCCCCCAGGCCGTGGAGCTGTGCTGGCCGCCTGCTGAATGGGGCTGTCGGAAACGAACACGCTCTCCTCTTTGGGTGGAGGGAGAAGAAAAAGATGAGCAAATGCCATTCTCCCTCGGAGCTATAATAACACAGCAGTGCAACTGAGGATGCAGCTGTGGTTCAGAGGGGGTTTATTTTTATTTTTTTAATACGCCACTGGGAGTTCAAACAATGTGCCAGGGATACGTTGCCTTTTGTGGGGAGCGGCTTCTCTCTCCACCCTCTCTTTTTTTTTTTTTTTTTTTCTTGAAGCATTTTAGTCATTCCATGGCAAACATAGCTCATTTGGATAAAAGCCTCTGCTGTGACATCCCCAGCCTGGGTATGCGGGGTTGTTTGTTTCAAAGCAATAGTCTGGGAGAATTTATTGAACTGCCCCCCCATGCCTCCTGCGTAAATTAATGAAATGGATGTCCTGTGGCACTTGTTAAAAAGCAATAAATCCTCTCTCTCATGGTTATTGCTTCAAAGGTAAGGGGGAGAAGATGCCATGGTGTAGTTTTGTGGTAGGACAGCAGGAGAAACTCCTCTCCTCCCGGTGCTCAGTCTCTGGTGCAAGGTGCATCCCTGCAGCAGCCCAATGAGCCAAGGATGACCACAAAGGCCTGATCCTGCTGCACGTCCCAGGTGTGCTCACACCCCGGGCAGCGTGTTGTAAGGGTAGGGTGACACCTCCAGCAGCACATATCAGGGCTGTGGCTGAGGTGCAGAGCCTGGGCTGGCTTTGTGCACCCTGTCACCTGGTGACAAGCATGTGGTGGTGATAGCCCACACTTACTGGTGCTGGGGTATCTCAGTGCTCTGCAAATCCTGATTAAACAAATTTTTTTTTTTTTTTTTTGAATCCCCATATTGCCAGGATGTGGTAAAGCTACTTTCTTAATCTCTCACGCTGAATCAATGGCTGGGCTGCAGATAGAAGCAGGCGCCCTTGAGCTGCTCGCTGCCTTCCGCTAGGCTGCTGACTCACAGCCAGGGCACTTCTGAGCCCTCGTGGCCTCGAGGGATGCCCTGCAGGCTGGGAGAGTTAACTGGGGACAGCAGGCACAGCCTCTGCCCCTTCTGCATCCTCTTCTGCAGAGCCATCCTGAATTGTGGCAGTATCACTGGCATGAAGGGGCGTCCTTCCCTCCTCGCTCCTTACCCTGACCCTAGGAGTACCCCTGGCCTTCCTTCTGACCTGGGGCTCAAAGTGTGGTGTCTGCTTTGGGTGAGATTTGGCTGTGAGGGGGCTGCAGGAAGGCTCAGACGTATTTAACTTCTACTGGAGCTGTAGAGCAGAAAGGGCTGTGAGGATGTGGTCGATAGGCACTTAAGCGCTGCCTTTGAAACCACAAACCCCAATCTCTTTTCTTATTTTGTCATTGCTTTTGCAGGGATAATGCAGAAATGACTCGGTTTGTGGCATTTTCCAAGAACCAAACAGAATTATGGGCTGGCTGTAAATACCATGGAGGCTGGAAGGGGCTCGGGAGCCAGGCGTGGGGATTTGTGCTGGAGCACTGCAGGGATGTCCCGTGCAGCACGGGGGGAGCAGGGGCAGAGCAAGCAGTCAGAGGGCTGGCAGGAGCCTCGCTGCCCCCATCAGCTGGTGGGGGAAACAGGTGAGTCTCTTACTGCTGCACCCAGTGTATTTTGCAACTGGGTTTTAAGTCTTCCTGTTGCAAAGTGCATTTGGCACTGCAAAAACCCACTTGTGCTCAAAAAGGAGAGATGGAATAAACGCCACCTTGTCACCATCATCAGTGCAGGCGCTTAAATCGTCGTGTGGCTTTAGCACTCGGCACTGAAGATATAAATCACAGGGGTAAAAGCTTCTCCAGATGTGGGCTCTGTGCAGATAAGGGTGTGGTTTCATTAACTCTTCTCCACATATCACTGTTCTAAGCACCACCAGCTGCCTTGCTGTGCTCACCCACCAGTGCGACCCTCTTGGTGGTCCTGTCCCTGACCAGCCTCCCCGCCCCATGTACGTCCTGCATGGAGATGCCACAGGGACTGCTGCTTTGGGGGCAGGAAAATGTTTACTTTGTGTGTACTCACTAGAGAAAGCTTCTTCATCTGTCTCCCTGCACCACAGCACCCACCAGGAAGGGTTTTCTTTAATTCTCTGTCACAGGGAGGACCTCAAATGGCCGTATGGGATGTGTGCTGGCTTTTCCTGCTGATACCATCCTGATGGTAATTGGGGCCATGTGGTTGGAGTCCTCAATCCGAAACTTGTCATAGCACGTCACAGCGGTGGCTCTGTCCTTCAGCCTGAGTATTAAGCCTGGTGACAGATGCCAGCCCTCCCAGCTCCGTCATGCTCCCTGGGGCAAACCAGCCTCTTGCGTGCTAGTCGGGTTTTTAGTGTAGTGTCGGGGAAAGGCATGAGCTGCTCTTCCCATATGGGTTTACTTCCAGTGTGAGAATGCAGAAGCTAATAGGGAAACATGCAGATACAGAGGGGCTGGGCCATGTTTGGGGGAAATCCTGTGCCCTGGAGCTGGGGCAGCATGTGCCAGCCCTGCCTGGCTCCTGGGACCCGAGTGCCTGTTGCCTTGGTGGCCCCAGGGCTCGGGGACTCATACCGCCTCACCTCTGTACCCAACAGCGAAGCAGGGAAGATGTTTTCTTTGCCTTGTTTATTCACTCTGGGAAAAGACCCATTCTTGTAAATTTTATGAAACAGAAGGTGAAAGCTGGAGTGCCTGAGGCTGTAAAGGAGGGGAGAAAATGGTTCAATTCAGTTCCTAAAACAGCGCTGTTTAATTCATCAACCTAAGTAGGACTCTTGAACCTCTCTATGCAACAAATTATTACCTGGTAACACCAGGGAAAAGGATTTGCAAACCTTTCCCAGGTATCCAGAACATCACAAAGCTCTGCAGAATTACAGCCTGAAACTTAAACCCCAAACCACTTTTGAATGGCAGGCTCTAAAAAAGAGCTTAGGAGCAAAATGCCTGAACATGCACATTTTGTAGGTGGATGAGCAGTAGTGAAGTGCGGCGTTTTCTGCCTTTCAGAGGAATTTTAGTGGGTTGGCTGATCCTGGCCTCCCAAGGTAATGAGTAAGGCTGGGAAATGATACCTGTGGCTTCAGGTGGAGATTGAGGAGAAAGGTGGCAGGAGGAGGAATGAAAGAGCAGGGAGCTTTGTGGGGACTAGAGGTGGAAGTATTGGTTACTTGGGTGGAGGCACTGGGCAGGAGGTTAGCCCTGCTGGTCCTGCAGTACCAGGTGGGTGCCCTGGAACCTCTCCCATACCCTGTTACCATTGTGAACCCAGGAACATCCATAAAGTGCTGGTTTTAAAAACAATAATAAAAAAAACTTTATTTTTTTCATCTCTATGACAACTAGAGTTAGAGCTATCTTCTTTCACTGAGGGGTTTCTTGATGTCCCCATGTGCTGGAACCTTGCTCACTCTGCCCGTCCTTCCAGAGAGGCCTCACTGTTCTTATATCCCAGCAAATAAGGATGGGAGGGGGAAGCTTTCTTCTCTGCTCTGTCATAGATTAGCTGGTGTTGCTGAGGCCAAAATCTTTTGCTCCAAATATCCTGATGTCCTGACTTATTCAAGGCAGATTCTATGAAATTTTCCCTCTGAAGTTCAAACCTTAAATAATAATCAATTATTATGTTTTCCTCTTGGTTTGTCAGCACTTAAGGGGACAGCGCTCAATATGGTTTCCTTGTGGTCTGTCCACCAGCTGCATGGGCTGGTATCTGATGGAGACCCCTGAGCTTTCACTTGATTAAATGTTAAAGCCTCATCTCATTTGAAGTAAGAATCCTTGTTCCTCTGTTCCTGTTGAGCAGATTTACAGCCCAGCTCAAAGGGCAGCCTGTGATGCTATGATGTCATGGGGTATGATAAAATTTGTGCTTCACTCCCTGGTGCTCACCTCAAGCCTCTTCCACACACAT